AAGAAAAACGTTTTTGCTTCCATAAATAAAATGAATTTCGATAAAAGATTAGATTAACTTACCTGTATTTCGTGTTTGGAATCTTAACTTGAAAGAAAAGGTTTTTTAAAACCGGTTTTAATTTTGCTGAATGAGGAAAAACGAGTTTCAAAATATCCGCCATTTTCGTTGTCAAGGAAGAGAAGCAGCTTAGCAACGCGATTTGGCCGCGCACTCGTGGAACCTAATGTCGTAATTGAAACAGCCGTGTAGTGTGGTAATTAAAAGAAGTGAAAATCAAACTGAGAGTGAGTGTGCGCATGCGCAGAATAGTATTACAGTGCTAGAAATATCCCACATGTCTTAATAACAATGCTTTTCATCATATMAATATTCAAATCCATCTATACTTAGTAATAACAGTGGTATTGTTAGTGTGGTAATTAAAAGAAGTGAAAATCAAACTGAGAGTGAGTGTGCGCATGCGCAGGGTTCTACTACAGTGCTAGAAACATCCCACATGTCTAAATAACAATGCATTTCATCATATAAATATTCAAATCCATCTATACTTAGTAATAGCAGCTTATATTGTTAGTGTGGTTAGTAAATATATATTAAAGAGTGAGTGTGCGTGCGCATTCGCAGAGAAGTACTACAGTGCTAGAAACATCCCACATGTCTAAATAAAAATGCATTTCATCATATATACATTGAAATCCATCTATACTTAGTAAAAGTAGCTTTATTGTTAGTGAAGTAAGTAAAAGAAGTAAATATATATTAAAGAGAGTGCGCATCCGCAGAGACGTACTATAATGCTAGAAACATCCCACATGTCTAAATAAGTAAGCATTTTATCATAAAAGATTGAAATCGATCTATACTGAGTAATAACAGTGGTCTTGTTAATGTGGTAAGTAAACGAAGCGAAAATCAAATTTAATCAGGTGATGTTGTTTGGATGACGTAAACATTTGGTAAACGGTTACATATGTATTGCAGAGAGAAAGAGAGAGTAATTGATAAAAAAGATGAAAGTACGAATGATGGTCAACAAATATAAATATTCGCAATGCATCATCATTAATGCTATTAATCATATCAATATTAAAATATATGCCTACTGAGTAAAAGGAATATGCCTGCTAGTGCAATGCAACGTTAATATGCAGATGACGTTTGAAAAACGCTTAAAAAGTAATTGTACGTAAACTTTATCTCAAGTACTTAATATTTCTGAAGAAAACTTTATCAGAGAGGAGAATGTCACAATATCCACACATAAACATATCAATTGCCATGAAGACGTCCAATCAAGCCTTTGAACTTTAAATGCATTTAAAAAAATAAAAGACTGTTAGAGGACTTATTTGCGTAAGCACCCATTTTGTTGTCGTAATTAGATGAATGAGAACAATTAATTTAAAACCTAATAGACAAGGAGTTAAATTGTTTACTATTGTCTACTACTATAAATTACATTTAATTTTTTAAATATTTAGTTGGAATAAATAACAACATTGTATAATATGTCACTTATAATTTTTAAAAATCGTACGCGGGAAAGGATACGCGCGTTTACAATGTCGAACGACCTCGTAGCGTAGTGCGACTTTAATTTGAGACAAAAATTCATTTATTTTTGAATCATATCATTTTTGTGATTAGAACTTGAGAAAAACAAAAAGATACTTTTTTAATAATTAGATTGCGATTAGTGATAGCGCTTACAAAAAAGGATAAAATAATTAGCAGTTTTTTGTGATTAAGGAGAAGATCTGTAATAAATTTATTGTTTTTATTCCAAAGAACGTTTATATGTGAAAAGATTAATAAATATGAACAAAAATAATGTAATATGCTAAACTATTGATTTATTAAGAAAACTTTACATGATAACAGAAATCTTTATTAATTAATACTAGTTAGTTTAAAAGATGTTAGAGAAAAAGCTGAAAGCCATCATTATAGCGATAATATTAACAATTTTATAAATGTTATAAAAAATTGC